TCCAGTGCAGAACATTCCGCTTTGGGATGTGGACTCAGGAGACAACGTAATCACTGAATCCATTCCAGATACCCTTAGGGCTTTTGATACCAGTTAAGAAGGAAATCGTCCCAATTATGCTCTTTCACAGACCCAAAAGTTCACAAGGACAGAATGAAACACAGGTTCAAAATCTTACTCCAAGTTCCTACAACAGGGCAAGGAGAAAACCCTGTAGAGATAATTATATTTATGAACTAGGGAGAAGAAATGTTTGCTAATTTTCCTAGCACAAACTATTTATTTTATAAGAGAATCTTCAACGGTGAGCAGCTAAAGTACTTAATTAGCACTACTGTTTACAAATGATAAGCATGCTGATGCTCAGTAGACCTCATGGATGACTTGCCCTTATGCTCCAAGGTGAGGTCATCCAGCATCATGGTCAAGACCATGAACTTTGGGGTCAGGCCAACCTGGGTCCAAGTCTAGCTCTTCCACTCACTACCTATGTGACTTTCGGCAGGTTACTTAACTGCCTATGCCTCAGTTCCCTCATCTGTAAAAGGAGGATTAAAAGCCAGAAGTACGCCCTGGCCAGTTTGGCTCAGTGGTTAGAGCGTCGGCCTGCGGTCCGGAGAGACCCCGGTTTGGTTCCCGCTAAGGGCACGTACTTCGGTTGCAGTTTGTCCCCGGCCCTGGTTGGTCGTGCGGGTGGCAGCCACTCGATGTGTCCCTTCACATCGATGTTTCTCTCTCTCTCTCCCTTCCTCTCTGTCCCTCCCACTCTATCTGTACAAAAAAGTGGAAAAATATCCTCGGGTGAGGATAAAAAAAAAAAAAAAAAAAAGCCAGAAGTACTTGCTTTGTTGAGTTATTAGGAATATTAAATGGGGAAAATTAGAAAGCACTTAGCAGGCCCTCAGTGAATGACAGCTGTTGTAGAATGGTACTGCCCCACAATCAGAGAGGGTTACACCCATGTGCACAAGCTATACTTTATGTTCACTGATACATCTGCTCCGTCTACATGTCCCAGCTTCTTGTCAATTCCTTTCTTGTTCTTTTTTTTTTTTTTTTTTATTCAGATAGAGTGGGAGGGGGAGAGAGAGAGAGAAACAAAGATGTGAAAGGGACACATCGAGAGGTTGCCACCCACACGACCCAACCAGGGCCGGGGACAAACGGCAACCGAAGTATGTGCCCCTAGCGGGAGCAGAACCCGGGTCTCTCTGGACTGCAAACCAACGCTCTAACCGCTGAGCCAAACCGGCCAGGGCCCTTTCTTGTTCTTAAATGGGGAAGACATTTCCTTCCCTGTGGGTGTCTAAGGGTTGTCTTGAGCATGACAAAGGATGAACACATGGCGGGGCACTTGGAAAAGCATGGAGCCCTGCACGACTCAAACAGGGGCTGAGCCCTGACAACACCAGGAAGCTGAGGCATCGTGAGGTCTTTCTGGAAGCTGCAGGAGGCCTCTGCCAGATAGCTCGGAGCATCCTGCCAGGAGCTGCTCCTAAGTCTCAGGCTTCCCTAGCAAGGACACGCATGCAGGAGGGTGTGCTTCCTCCAAGCACCTGTCCTAAACAGGATACTCCAAGCACACAGGGAGACTTCCGGGGAAGCCCACTTCCTGTGCTGGGTTTATTGCCCTGGGGGACTTCTACTGCGTCACTGCAGTGGAAGGCAAACAATAGAGATCATTATCTTTTTAAATAATAAAGTATTTTATTGTTTTTCTTGTAGCTAAAATTTATTGGAGGCAAGTGTGTGCTGCAACAGCAAACATTTTTGATATGCACGTTGTTATTTAATCCTCATAATCAATACCTCCCTTTGACCTGAGCGAGCAGGGCCCCTGCCCCAAACTGCATCTTCCTCAAAAATGTCTAAGTCCCTTTCTTAGGACCAGCTGGGGCTGGCAGTGCTGTCTAGGCAGGGCACTCCAGCCTCCTCTTTGGAGCTCATCTCTCCGACACTGTGCAGAAGGTTGACCAGATGCCCTGAGCAGCTCTAGGGCTCCTGTTAGTGGGGCTATCTCAGAATCCTGAAGCCAGTTCAAATCCAGGATGGGAGCCTGGTGAACAATCACTACTTCAGGCTGGTGTGGTATTTCTTCCTATGATTGAGCAAGACTGGGTCATTGACATACTAATTTGGAGCATCTCAAATTGTTTGCATACTACAGAGGCCTCACAAACAAATATGGCTTAGGGACCCATCCATCCTGGAGGAAGATTTGCTCGTAGCACTCATATAAGGTATGCATTCTTCTGCATACCTTACAGATGGGGGAACTGTGACCTGGAGATATTAACTTCCCAAAATAACACATTTGGTAAGTAGAAGAGCTGGGACTTAGTTCTGGAATGTCCAACTCCAAAGCCACACACTGAACTAATCCCCTAGATTTCCTTATCTGCCTCCACTAAGATATGAATATCTCAGTGATGGGTACCCTTTCCTTTACCCAGGGCTCTCTTTGATACTGTTCGCTCTCTTGTGATTGAAACTACTGACAAGCCATTGTCCAGCACACTCTCATTCAACCACTATGTACCTGGTCTCCCTTGACTTCCTGCCTTTTCCACCGGCAGACCTTATCTCTTTCATGAGCATCAACAGCTCAGTCCAAAGAGTCGGATCGGAATCTCTTTCAGCAGAAAAGCACCAGACTCACTCACAGTAAAGTGTCAGCTCCAACAGAAATCGAATGTTTAGTTGTTACCTCTCATTGCAAAATGAACCTTTTTCCCTCAATGAAGGAATTTTAGGTATGTGCCAGCATACACAACCGGCATTTGAGAGAGGTGCCTTAAGTTGCAATGGGCATGGCCAGCCGGTTCTGAACAAAGTTCTAGGGTGGCGTCTAAGGGCGGGAGGGGAAGAAGCCATGTCTCCACTGCTTGCTCCCCCGAAGAGGATGAAGCGAAGACTGCTGGAGAGTGACAGCCAAGGAGCTGTCAACATCGGCAACTGTCAGGCCGGGATCCTGTCCTGCCTTAGCACTGGTCTGCTAGCCAGCCCCTCCCGTTCCAGGCATAGCTCAGTGCAGCCAGATACGAAGTACTACGCAGACCCACTAGGGCAGCTAGAATAACAGAGTCAGAGAGCAAGTGTTGGCAAGGTTGTGGAGAAACTGGAACCTTTATATGCTGTTGGGAATGTAAAATGGTGCGGCCACTTTGGCAAGAAGTCTGGGACTTCCTCAGAAGGTTAGACGTTAGCGTTCCGTAAAACCCAGCAATTCCACACCTAGGTGTGTGCCCAAGAGAACTGAAAACATATGTCCACCCAAAAAAATTGGGTATGAATGTTCACAGAAGCAATGGTTACAGTAGCCAAAAGGTAGAAAAATCCAAATGTCCATCAACTGATGCATGGATAAACAAAAAGTGGTCTATCCACACAATGGAATATTCTTTAACCACAACAAGGAGTGAAGTACTGACCCAGGCTACCATGTGATGCTAAGGGAAAGAAGCCAGACACAAAAGAACATCTATTATATGATTTCACTCAAACGAAACGTCCAGAACAGGGAAATCTTTAGAACCAGAAAGTAGATTAGTGGTTTCTTAAGGCTGAGGGTGGGGATGGAGAGGTGGGGTGGGGGTGGGGTAATGGCTAAAGGGCACAAGGTATCTCTTTGAGACCACATATTCGTGGGATGGTGATGGTTGCACATATCAGTGAATATGTAGAAACCACTGAGTTACACACTTCAAATGGGTGAATCGTATGGCGTAGGAGTTGTATCTCAATAAAGCTGTTAAAAATTAAAGCACCCCGGTTATAGGTTAACTTCCTTACCTCACCTAACTTTTTTTTTTGTTTGCTTGAAAATATTTTAAAATGTTGTTCTTTTGTTATAGAAATAGTGCATGGTCATTATAGAAAACTTAGAAGACACAACATTTTTAAAGGTCTCTTGTTCTCCATAAGCTACATACTGCTACCTCTGATCCTGACCATTCTTACCTGTTATTGGTCATTTGTGTTTCTATTCGTGCAAATGCTCTTTTCATACCTGTGCTCATTTTTCTACTAAAATAGTGTGGACTCAAACAAGGTTCTACAGAAAGTAACTTCACAGGACGATCTGATCATAAATTCCTAAATGGGCACCTTACCTGACCTGAACCCAACGCTGCCCTCCGCTCCGGCTGCCAAAGGGGGCGCCTTCGTCTGTTCTCGGGCTCCTCTCCACGTGTCTGTAGGGGCCGTGTCTAATACCCTCCACCTCCTGCATGAGTTCTGGGATTGCTTTTGACAAGGAGGGGGCAGGCAGGTGTCACCATCGTGAATAAAGGCACCACTCTAACTGCAGAGTCAGCAAACTCCCGGGAGCAATTCCTCTGTCCTCAGACTGGGCTTCCCCACTTCCTGCCCGGGCAGAGGGACGACGAGCTTTCCAATGAGCTTCGTTAAAAAGAAGCCTCAGAAAGTTCTCTCAGTATTATAAACCCTTCCTTTTCCTTTTCCTTTTCTTTTTAAATATTTCAATAGACGAGCCTTCCGTAGGCAGTGATACAATTTAGGCCTCGACTTTGCTTAGGTCATTCTTTGCTCATGTCAAGGTCATTCTTTGCTCATGTCAAGGTCATTCTTTGCTCATGTCAAGGTCATTCTTTGCTCATGTCAAGGTCACCCTTTATCATGTCAACTGCTTTCCCTGAGTATTTCTTTTCCATCACCCTTTATCACATGAAAGAACAGAGCTAGCCACAGAGGTCTTTCTTCTCCGTCATACTTCCTGTTGTGATCATTATTAATACCAGGCTTGAAAAGAGACACCTTTGTTACTAAGGTTATAAAATCACGGACAAAAATTACCCTCAGAATTTAGCTCCACAGCTGTATTGATTTTATAGTCTCCATTCCTCCCACCCCATTAATTACTTACCAAGATTAGTGTTCCCTCTGAAGACGACATTACGGAAGAATGGTTCTAGATAGTATTTTATTACCAGGCCAATCAAAACCACAAAGCTGTGTCCAGAGCGGGCTCGCTCACTTACCCAGAGGACCAGGGCTGTTAAACAACTGCTCGGACGTGCAGCAGACCTCAGGGTGCAGATACAGCAGGTGGGTGACAGTGGCACACCCGTGGGCGGGGGCGGGGCTCCCCGTGAGCACCAGCCTCCTCCTGAGTGAGCCCCTGGAGCTGCTTCTGTCAGACGAGGTGACTTTGATTTTCTCAGCGCTGCACAATTTCCCCAAACACTTTAAACCAAGCAAGGAAGGCATCTTGGCGTGGATCACAGAGAAACGAGAACTGGGCACCAGGAGCCCCAGCAGCTGTACTTCCCCACAACCCTCCAGACCCCTCGCTGTTTACTCATTGCCCAGCAAAGAAGATTAAGGAGGATGCATTGAACCGATTACCCTCAAGAGCTTAGGGCTCCCTAGACGCAGACGATCAGGTATACCGACAGCTGCTACCAGGCCCCCAGGTCTGAGACATGAAGGCATAGTCAAAAATCTGGTCAATAGCCAGAGCAAGAGAAAGGACAGAGCTGCAGATTCTAAAAGAATTCACCTGCAAATAGTCCTAGTAGATTCGATACCAATGGGTAAGAGTAGTGCGAATAGGACGAGATCATATATAATCAATCTAAAAATACAAATCAGAACATAGTCAAGATAGTAATTCCAAGTTCTCACGTGTTGAGGCTTCCTTTCAGATATCACAGAGCACAGACTTCAAATTTCTTCAGCTTCAATCAGAACAAATCCAGCTCCCAGCCAGGGTAACCAATCCTCATTTTCTAGAAGGAAACCCCTCCCCCTCCTGCCATGAAAACCTCTCTGCCTCCTTCCATTTACCCAATGCTAATGACATTCGGGAATGTTGTTTCACGGTTTTGTGTGCTTGCTGAGTCTAGCAGAATCGCACGATGCAGAGAGAATCACTGTACAGGGAGTTGCATGTTTTCACAGTTACAAGCTAGCAGGGCCCTCACACCATTAGGGTGCTGGTGTACAAAGGACATCCCTGGTGCTAAGCATTTACTCTCTGACATCAACCCAGTAATGTTAAGCAGAGTATGTGACAGTCGATAGCCACCCAACAGTCCTAAGTCAGACTGAATAAACCCACACCCCTCCTGCCATGGGGCTGTTGTGTTCTCAATCAATTTTCTTTTCATTAAAACCCTTACATACATGAAACAAAATAGAATTACAGAGCTGGAAAGACCTTTGAAGATAATCCAGTTGAGTGGTTCCCAAGTATCGCGGCACATACCAGTCGTCTTTAGGGCTTTGGAAAGGCACAAAATCTGGGGCACTAGCTCAGACCTCCAAATGAGATTCTTTGGGGCGGGGCCCAGGAACCAAAGTTCCCCAGACCAGCACCAACAGTCAGGAAGCACAGATCTGCTCCAGCCCTTGCACTTTAAGGAGAGCAAAGCAAGTCTGGGAGAAGCTAAGTGGCTTTCCCATGACAACACAGTGAGGCCATGGTGGAGCCAGGTCTCCTGACTCCCAGGTTCTGACTGTTCCTGCGACTGTCAGCAGGGCCTCCCACAAAAACTGTAGACAGATGAAGCAGAGAAAGGACAGCTTACTTCGGTTGTTACTAGCTCCTGATCTTGAATGCAACATTCAACATGAGCTCAAGAACCAGAGAATTCAAATGTGTTAGAATGACCCTAGCTCAGCGGGAATGGAGGGGACAGACTGTCCCTGAGGCGTCAGACGTGAGCGGAGCCGGGGAGGGTGGAAATCTGGGAGCTGTCTGCTACCCCAGTCATGTGGTGAAATTTCTGCTCTCCAATTTTAGGAATTAAGCCCTAGACCAACATTGTCCCTAGAAATAATCCTTCCAATGTCTTCTAAAAACAGTTTACAAAACAAGAAAAACACTGTGGGCGTCCTGTTTCTTGCGTGAGTATTTTGAAGAGCCGTAGGATGTACATACAATGGAAGATATTTTATTGCCATTTTCCAAAGTGTGGTTCCCGAATCAACTTGTTTGAAACACAGATGCCTGAGGCCCATATCAGACCTACTAGGTTCTTCTAGAGTATTTTCGTCATAAACATTTTAGTGTGGGAACCTTGGCCCTATACCACTAATTCCTTTTATGTGTGGTTAGCTTCCTATAGTTCTGTTCTTTGCAAACTGAGAACGTGAGTGATTCCATCTGCTTCTGTGTTCACCTGGCCTGTTGGGGAGGCACACGCAGAGTGTGTGCTTGTATAGAAAAGCTGGATGCAGACTCTTCACACGGGCTCTGGGACACACGGACAACACACAAACAGAACTTAGACAGGTAAGAGGATCATTTTCTTCAAGTGCAGCATTGTCTGAATAGCACAAAGTGTTACCGTGCCACAACTAAGCCGCCTGGAATTTTTCAGCACCAACTCTAGCTCAGCTGTTATATTGGCAAAACATATTCGGGCCACTCCTGCATTATTTGACGAGTTTATACATCCATATATTTAATTTAGAATTAACCGTGTTCTGAAAGACTGTAAAAGGAAAAAAAATTAAAGTCTTCTTCAAGGAAAGAATTATATGTAAGAAGCTTAACCTATTTTACGAATTTCAGGTCAGGACTGACAGTACACTAAACGTGGACCTAAGGAAGGCTGATGAGGCAGCAGAGGTTGCTTGTTTCCAAAGATCACCTGACGAGGTATAAAGGTGAGGGGGTGCCTCCTTTCTCAGACGGTGGAGAGTGAAGGGTTCAGAGGCGGGGCGCTTGGGGGTTGGAGCCAGCAGTGACAATGGGCACCCACGAACTAAGTTCCACTTTCCGGGTGCCCAGCATTCTTAAACCATCCTCTTCCACACAGTTCAGGGAAAGCATCCAGCAGAGGCCAAGCCTCCAATCTCAAAAACATGCTTTTAGTGGTCTGCCCGACAGCAAAGTCCCTGGCCATGAAACACAGCCCAGAGAAGAGCCCGGAGAGGCACAGGGGCCTGTCACTTCCGTTCCTGCACGCACACCGACCTCTGGCCACAGCCCACATAAAACTACAGCCTCAGCATTCACAAAGCAGTGTGGTGGTGTGGTGACAGTTTGTGTGGTTATAAGACCAGGTATCACAGTGCACTGCACTGCAAAGCCAGTGCTAATGACAACGCTTCACTTTCACCCACGGTTCTGCGGGCCTGCGTGTTTGATCAGAAACAGTTCCACTGCACTTCAACAAGCTCTTCTGTGATCAACTGTGAAACAAACCACCAGAAGGCAAACTCGCCAAAGGACTTCCACCCGCATCCAGAGGCCCTGAGCGCCCCGCCTTTGCATACTGTAGAAGCTCAATGATAAAATGAACCCCAACGTCGGAGCCAGGCATTTGGGGGCTACGCAGTGCTCAGGGGACAGATGACACCTTAATATGATCTTAATGATCCAGTCACAGGTCGATCCCCACAGCAATTCTCCACAAATGAATTCGGACTTTTCTTTAATTTTATTCTATGGAATGATTTGGGTCTTTTTTTTTTTTTTTAGACAAATGTCCCTGCCCCCATTTAAATCACCGGCCTGTTAAGAAAAAATAATATTAGACAGAAAGACTGCCACCTTTAGAATTTGAATCTTTATGGGTTTTAGTTTTCTAAGGAAAGGGTATGAATTTATAGCCTGTGGCTTCATCAGTGACCATGAGGTTCCTGGCTTTTCAGCTTTTGCTTTCATCAGAAATGAGCCAACAAAGAACTCAGCGAGCCCATCGGAAACATGTGCAATAGCTCACAATACTCGGGATGATCTTTACTGCTGAGCAGAACAGATTAAGCGGAGTAACAGCAGTTTCTTAAGGGGGAGCACTCAGAGGACGGGGCGCCACGGGACGTCTAGACAAGGATGCCTAGGCCCACTGGAAGTGCGACCACTCCAGAAGCTACTCCTGCTCCCTGCCACCAGCAAGTCCTTAAGAGAAGGACTAAACTTAAGCATCATCAAGCTGGGGCATCTCCTCTGCAAAGCCCAATGCTTAAGGGGTCTTACCCATCCCTCCAAAGCAGGCAGTGATTTTCTGAGCATACTGGCACAGGCTCCCGTCTGGGTAGGGCTCCTCTGGAAGGCCTGCTGTGTCCATCACTCTGCAAGCAGCTGCCTCTCTTCCCGTAATGCCACCCGTCCCAGACCTGCTTAAAATGGAACGCACAGCCAAGCCCCCTCATCCATAGCGTTCCCATTAATAATTCAGGTACTACATAAAATCTGCTGAGCATACAGGATCGAGAGTGCCAAGGCACTCGGAGGACTGAGCATAATTAGTTTAACAGACAGCAAGTGTCTCAGATTACTCTCTGACAATACTCTCCACGGGCAAGAGTTCCACATGGTAATGACAGCCACGCTTGGAATTCCTTCAAGGAAGCAGCGCAGATGGGAACGCGCTGGGGGAGGGTCACGGGCATCCCCCCAGCTCAAACCCCATATGTGAGACAAGGCTGCCCCAGGAATCTGTCCCATTGAGTCAGATCACTGTTATTGACCCGTGGCAAAACCCACCAGGCTGTGGTCTCCTCCAGTGGCAGAAACTTCTCTGTGCCCTGAGCATACCCCATGCTCCCCAATTCTTCATCCTTCTCCTGTTTCTTTCACTTTTCCGGAAATTCCTCATCTTCTCCCATTTGATCTTTCTGAGAATCCACCTGTCCTTAAAAATCTCCTCCATCAAGGTTTCCAGGATCACTCTTGCTGTCTTGTCCCCAAATATCAGCTCTATTACTTCAATTTCTTCCTCTCCTGTCCCCAAATAGCAGCTCTACCGTGGCATTTATTATCTCCTGCTGTGTAATATGGTTACCTGGAGACTGCCTTATTCCCCTCGCTAGCTGATATGCTTCTGGGGGGCAGGAGTCTTGCCTTGGTCCCCGGTTTCCTTCACATAGGACTCCACCCATACCAGGTGCTCCATGCCCTGCATAGAGAATTTGACAATTCTAGAGAAGAAGTGACTGTGGAATATGAGTGCCCAATATTTGGGTAACAGTCGGATACCAAAGTCAAGACGCACTTCGGTCAGTGGGACCTGCTTTTGGAGGAGACGGAAGGGTGCATTTCTACACCAGTGGGTCTGAGAACCGTTCCCACATGTGCAGCTGTAGGATGCAACTGTCCTCCTGCTGGTCAGAGCTTGCTATCTAAGTGCCACTGAACCGGAAGGCTCAGGCGACAGGCGCATGCCCAAGAGGCAGGGCCAGCTGTGGCCACAGGACGCCGTCCCCGTGGTGGGTCAGTCGGAGACAGGCTGTCCTCGCTGGCAGGATTAATAGCTGAGCGTGGACGGGAAAGCCCCGCGTCAGCACTCGGCCCACCTCTGCTGACCGAGGTGCTGGCTCCGCAGCAGGT